TTGCTTATGTGGTCAACAAAGCTTTTGAAAGACCCCATTCAGTCAGTGAGTCTCCTTCTGTGTGTATCTGTTTTGGGGAATAAGTTGTCCTCCCACCACACTCATCCTTAGCTGAGAGGCACGTGAATCATTATCTTATTTCTGGCATATTTTTCTTTTCTATAAGGAAGTTAATTGCTTTCTAGGCACTCAGCTGTGTGTGTGTATGTGTGTGTGTGTGTGTTTGCAGCTAATTCCTATTGTCTTCTGCAATTTTAAAATCTTTGTTCTTCTGTCTTATTTCCTGCCATACTGTCTTTCTGTCTCTGTGCAAAAAAGCGTTGGCATTTCCTTTGCTTAGTGAATCGCAGGGTCCTGAGTGTCGTTTTTGCGTTTGTACCCTAAGTCAGCTGTGGACGCACTGCACCATTCCAGCTAGGAATATATGGTTCCAAATTGTTCCAAATTCAAAAACCTTAAACTTCACTTTTTGAGCTGTCAGCTCCCTTCACCATTTTCTCCTGTATACAGCACTATGCCGATTTAAAGACTCCATAGTGAAAGTTTAATTTTTTTTAGATTCCTGTACCAAAATTGGAAGCTGAGTGCTATACTGTAAGAGAGTGGACATTAACAGGAAGATAGCTGGAACATACACATTTCTCTCTTGAGATTCTGAGGAGGAGCAGTGCTGGGTGTTCCTGGGTAATTTTCAGATATTAATCCCATTTCTGACCACACATACACATGTGCACGCGCACGTACAAGAGCACGCATGCATGCCAGAAGAGTTGAAACAAGCTTCATGGAACTGAGTCTTGACATGCGCCATGTGTCCCCCACACTGGAGAAGTGAACTAGAAGAGGTTTTCTTTGAGTACGCACTGGCCACAGAGCCACTCAGTGCGAGATTAAGGTTTAAAACAGCGGGTACTCTTTTAAAAATATTTTTTCTTATGATTTATTATGTTCTTGCACTGTTAGCTTATATTCATCATTCATACATTTGTATTTTCAGAGGCCTTTAATGCACTTTACTTCTTGTAAACAGATTAAGCTTATTTTTTGAAATTGTCAAAATTTGAAAACTTTCAACTTGCTTTTTGTATCTTAAAACTGTATTGTAATCTTTTAAATACACCACATTTAATGAGAAATTCCTGTCTGGTGAAAAGCATAAGTTGGTCTTCTCAGAAAGGTATTTACATTAATTACCCACAAAATATTAATGTCTGAAGTAATGAACTTAGAAAATAGAAGTTAAATTTGCAAAGACACCATATTGGTAGTTTCTGCTGTAATCTTTAAAATGTGTAAGACTTTCCCATACTCTGTCCAGGGAGGTGTGCAGTTATTATTGACTCATAATATTACAGGTGATCTTGTTTAATCAGACAGTAGAGTACTGCATTTAACTAGGTTGATTGTAGAAAAAGTGATAGTGAAATTATTTTCTTACGAGAACTGTGTAGACATTATGCCTAATAAATGAAAGCGTCAAAGGGGTTGTGGGAAAATGGAATTAAAAGATAATGGAATTTCCCCCCTTTTAGAGCCCCCCCCCCATGGTAGGTATAGTACTATGATACACTAATAAAGTTTAACATACATGTCTTATATTGGTAACTACCATTTCATACATACAGTACAACGTGCTTCATAGCAAAACTAAAAAGGATTTTGAAAAGGCCATTCTTGTAAAGTGCATAGTCTAGTCCCGTGACTGCTCGTGGAGCTGAAGGGTGGGGAGGCAGGGAGAGGGGAGCTCCGTTCCTGCAGTTTCTAAATGGAAAGGGGTGCCGTTGAGGTGAACGATGGCCTGCCGTTGGTGGCGTGCCGTGCAGCTCACTATGAGTCCATCTTTCCTCAGAGCTCCTTAGGAAGCATTCACAGTCAGTTTTTGGCAGCGTTGGACTCACTGAAGGCATTTTGGGACGTTATGGATGAAATCGATGAGAAGACCTGGGTGCTTGAGCCGGAGAAACCTACGCGGAGCGCAACAGCACGCAGGATTGCGTTGGGTAGGAACCCAAGGACCCCC